TCGTTTTCTGTATCACCCATTCTTTCTTTTCAGAGCATCTCTTTTTAAGATTTTTTTTGTATGTAAATAAAATACGTTCATTAAAAAAAATTTTTTTAAAAATACAGCATTATATAGAACATGGTATTTCCCTGAAATCTCACTCTATGTACCCCATCAACCTAGGCAACCATAGTGAAGTATGATGTCCCCTCCAGATTTGTAAGCATTTATTAACACATGTGTGTGCACAGGCACACACACACACAGAGCATGCAATACATATTATTTTGCAAGTTAATTTCTCTTTCATGAATATATTCTGGACATCCTTCTATGTCAGTTATGTATCGTACTGGGAAACAAAAATTGTTTTTTTCCATCCCTATTCGTAGATATTTAGGCTGTTTGCAATTTTTTTGTTTTGATATTGCGAACAGTCATCATCTTTGTAGAAATATTTGCATGTCTTTTAATGAAATCTAGTGCCTTTAAAGGCCCAGCTTTTTAAACTGATTACCATGACTTTCATGTATCTGTGTTAAAGAGTGAAGAATATGTTGCTGAAGTCCAACTGCGTCCTGGAAGCTTTTGGAAATGCCAAAACCAACCGCAATGACAACTCAAGCAGGTTTGGAAAATACATGGATATCAACTTCGATTTCAAAGGGGACCCTATTGGTGGACATATCAATAACTACTTATTGGAAAAGGTAAAGTGTGCTTAATTCCTTAGGGTAATGTTTGTGAATACTGAAATTTTTTAGCCTAGATTTCTCTTTTCCATGAAGTTATAATTAACATATGATATTATATTAGTTTCAGGTGTACAATGTGGTGATTCAATATTTTCATACATTATAAAAGAATCGCCACAATTAGACCATGTACCATCCGTCACCACACAAAGTTATTACAGTGTTACTGACCATATTTCCTATGTGTACAATCCATCCCCGTGACCTGTTTATTTTATACCTGGAAGGTTGCACCTCTTAATCCCCTGCACCTACTTCGATCATCCCCCACAACCCCATCCCCTCTGGCACCCACCAATTTGTTCTGTGTATCTTTGAGTCTGTTAATACTGAATGCTTTGTAAAACACCTGATTAAATTTATAGAATTTCTTTTATTGCTCCCAAATAGCTTTTAGTCCTGTTCGCTGTCCCTTCCTGCTCCATGACAAGTTAGCTTCCCATGACAAGATCATCTCTTTTTGTGTTCTCTTGTTAGCACTTGCAGTATCAAGTTGGGAAAAGTTACAGACTTTGTAGATAAAGATTTAGGTGTGGGAGGGTCGGAGGGGTTATAAATGTCAACCTTAGGATACAGCTTAACAAAAACTCGTTTGGGACTAACCACTTCTACTGTTTTTACACGTCCTCCCGTGTTTTTATTTTAATTAACTTGAGATCTCATTTCCCTGTAGTTTCTGTTTGCTCACTGCTTTTTAGTAGCCTAGGTGTACTTCCTGATCGAACAGCCTCATTGTGAGGCAGACTGCGTTGTCTGTGGAAACTGGCTGTATGTTTTTATCTGCCCATGTGAATGATAGGCCCAATTTATAGAAGATTCCAGTCAACACTTTCCTCTTGGGGACTGCCAGAGAGGTTGTGTTCGCACTGATCTTGATTAGATTCGCCTGGTTATTGCAGTGAAGATTGAACTTGACCATGTTAAGTCTCCACCTTGGCTTGTGCAGGTGTTTTGCATCCCAGTCCCACCTTAGCAACCTTTAAGGCAGCACAAGGCAATGTAATCTTTATGTTTGTTAACTTGAAGTAAGACTATTAAGGAAATAAGTGTTTTATCAGAGTTGGTTGAAAACGGACAAGAAATGCCAGTTATTATCAGTCTTTCTTCCCAAAATGTTTCATGGCTTAACTTTGTGTATATATTCAGTCAAAAGGATCCCCTGGAATGAACAGACACCTTGAGTCCTCGCTTAAGAGCAGTCTAAAGCAGAGGTCTCTATAGACGGGTCTTGCTCAACTGACTTTATTGCAGGATATGAGGCATTGCTCTTTGAAATGCCAGTAGACCCTGAGGAAGGGAATACTCCTTTCTAAACATTCCTCCCTGTTTGCCCCACTTCCAACTCCCTCCCCCTAAAAAAAATCCTATCTTTAGTCTCCCAGTTTAAAAAAGACAAAATAGCTTCATTTTCGGAAAGTTTAAGGAACTCTGTTTTAAACAATTTAAAAAAAATTGCACAGAAAACCCGTGGAGACCACCTAGTTTTAGGTCGGTCCCATCTATGGGGTCTAAGGACATTTCAGTGCACTGTTGATACAGGATTGCCTGGGAAAGTGGCTCTCTCATTTTGTTTTAGGAGTACATTCTCAAATTAACAATTTTAATGTTTTTTTTTTTTCTTAGTCCCGAGTGATTGTGCAACAACCAGGAGAAAGAAGTTTTCATTCTTTCTATCAGGTGAGTGAGCTCCTGGTACCCAGATCATCAATCATTTGCTCAGTTGCACGGAAATAAATGTTTTTATTCAGGGCTCCCCCCGTCCTGTGTCTCCATTGGCCCACAAAACATGACATGCACACGCATACACCCTACCCCACGGGCTTCTTCAGAGACTGAGCAAGCATGACTGTTAAAATGAGCTGGCAGGTGGGTAATCAGTCAGCTAACCCCCTTAGCTGAGCACCCGCTATGTTTCTTTGCAGTGTAGGTGCCAGTTTAATGACCGTAAAAAGCTTTTGAAATGGTAAATTCTGAATATGTTAAATTAAATTTTGTTTCATTTATGAATTGAAGCTGTTGTTCCCATTTGAAGGCTCTCTAGAGATGGGAATACAAATTCAGGTTATTTTGGTTAGGAAAAACAATTTTTAAAATCTAATAGTTTTATCTTTTCAATAAACCAAAGCACCCAGCTTAATATAGAGAATATCAACGTAGTGCTTTCTAAATCTCATGCTCTGTATAAAAGGACCGTCCATATTGTATTTGTGTTTTTTGTTAACAATTTGCCGTTTTTCCAGTAAACTAGTTTTCTACCACATATAAAAGAGTTTTGTTTATTTCAAGAAACCGTCGCTTTTTCCCCGCTTAGGTAAACATGTTAAACTTCTGTCTTTGTCCAGCAGGACAGTCCTGGTTACCCAGCTGTCCTTTCCTGAGATACAGAGACTGATGGGGAAGAGCTGTTTGTTTCCATTGTGGTTCAGCATATGACTGGCTGCTGACACCTCTTAGTTCTGAGGCAATATTGACTTTTTTTCTGAATTCAAAACACAACTCTGCTGTCTGGATAATGAGGCTGCCAAAAAGCAGGTGACCATCACAGAGCACAGCCTGCAAAACAAGCTGAAGTCAAAGCAAGAGCCTTTCATGCCAGTTACGTTGCGAAAGGGCTAAGACTTTTTCAGTAATTGTCCACATGGCTGTGTAATATTTTCCATCACTGATGACATTGAAGCCATTTATTTTCAAGGTGAAAAAGAAAAATCTTCAAAGCTAGAAGCAGGAGGACCTAAGTGAATTAGCCTAGAAAGAGAATAAAATCTAGACTATCAGTAAGTTAGAATGTAGAGTGTATTGGATTCAGTATGTAGTTTGATGTATTTTGCTAACTTACTTTTAATTAAATAACTCTTCAGCTACTGCAAGGAGGCTCAGAGCAGATGCTGCACTCGCTACATCTCCAGAAATCCCTTTCATCCTACAACTACATTCGTGTCGGAGCCCAATTAAAGGTAAAGGTTTCCTTTTTGAGGTGATTCAAATACAGAATCAAAGAGCCAGAAAGGACATTAAATAATTATCTGGTCCAGCCTGCTGCCTTTAGGCAAATAAATGACTCTTTTATTCTGTTCTACTTTTTAAATTCTCGGGGAGAGAGATTCAACATATTTTTGACTCAACAACTTTGCTTCATAACCCATTACTGTATTCTACCTGACAGGAAAGAAGTTTCTCTCCCGTGATCCTGTGTTTCCTTTTAGTTTTTAACCATATTCCTTTTCATTTTGACACCATAAAAATATTGTTACAATTAGGAAATCCACCTCAAAAGAAGGTACCATATGATTTGGCCAAAGGCAAGTTGGCAAGACAAGAGAAAACTTAAAAGCAACTTTGGTTGAAAATGAGTATCAAAGATCTCCATTCAGTATTTTCTTCAGATACTGAGTTTGATGTATCCCGGAAATAGTTTTGTGACCCTTGGAGCATTTCTGGTCAGCCTTCAGATTTTTTCCATTTTTCCCCCCTTCCTGTGCACGTAAGCCCCTGCTCACACAGAGGCAGATCTTTTTCCGCTTTTATTTCTAATTAGTTTTCTGCTATATGTGTAATTTCTACTAGCCATTTTGAAACTGGTCGTACTAATACAGTAATCTATTGATAGTAGGGTATAAAACAGTTACTATAGGGTTATCCATTTTTGTTGAGGGAAAGGTATGTAAGGACATGAAATAAGTTATGGAGGGAAATAGACTAAGGTTTTACTTGTTTCCTTGGATGGATGAGGTTATGGATACTTGCATTCTTCTGCTTCTTCCATATTATTTCAGGTTTCTTCTATAGTTAGAAGTGCAGGGGGTGGGGAGGGTACAGCTCAGTGGTAGAGCACATGTCTAGCATGCACAAGGTCCTGGGTTCAATCCCCAGCACCTCCATTAAAATAAATAAATAAATAATGGACCTAATTACCTCCCGCACCCCCCAAAATTTCTTTTTAAGTGTGTTGCTTTTGTAGTTGGGGGGTGGGGAGGATAAAAGAATTTATAAAAGGAAAGAATCTAAGATGTGGAAGATGTTTTCTTTTTCTTTTTTTTTAATTTTTGCTATTCATCTTTAGTTAATTCTATCGCATTACTGGTTTAACTGTATTTTTATTATCATGCATAAAAACAAATGATATTTAGGGTTTTGCAATTAATTTTCCATTGCTTGACATTTAAGTTGCATGATTTTTTTTTACTTTTACAGTCATCTGAGAGCAGGATGTTTAGCTGAAAATTAATTGAAAGCAAACAAAACAACAGAGGGAGACACTCCAGCTTTCTGGGAGTAGGCCCGAGGTGCTTAAAGGTGGATAAAAGGTTGTAAAATCAACACTTAAAAAGCCAGCGACTGGAAATAGTCTTTTTAAATCAAATTATCTTATTGACCAAATGACTTTTGGCCAGATCATATAGAACCCCCACAGAAAGCAAGTATTTTTAGCGTTTTTCCTAAGCTGACTTTAGCTCAGTTTCCCTTTTCATCGAAGTTTTCCATTCCTATCCCTCCCCTTCCTTTTTCTCTGCCTCTCTAATAAAAACAGAGAAGTAGTAGCTGATCGTAGTCAAAACCTAAAATAAAGATGACCAGAAGACAAAAATATACTAAAGCTCGCCACTCAGAGATAATTATTGATAACAGCAGTTTATGTGTATATATTTATACACGAAATCACACAAAATCCTGAGTAAATAAACCTTTTATTACATTACAGTATAATCATTAATATCTTCCCTTGTAAACAAATATAAATTAATAGAATGACCTTAATAACTGTCAGTATTGCACTCTGTATATCAGAGAATTTTACTTAGCTATCCTAAAATATAAGACTCATGTACAATTAAGATACTCTGGGCTGCGGGTAAGGTAAGACCCAAATAAAAGTCTCCAAAAATAATAAGGAACTTAAATATCTCACTAAGAAGAAGCCGTTCCAGAGTCGGTTAAATCAGTCCCTTAACAACATCGACTGAGCCCCCGATCTTTGTTTATTTCTCCAACTTACAGTTCTGCCATCCTCCCTGGATTTGGCTGGTCTACTTAGGCTGATTTTCCTCATGGTCCCAAAATGGCAGCAGCAGTTCCAGGAGTCACAGGCAGAGGAAGTGTCCCTGGCTTATAACCCTTGATAAGTTGGGGAAATCTCATGTCTTAATTGACCAGAATGGCATCGCATGCCCAGGCTGACCAGTCACTCTTTGAAAGTAAGATCCCTGAGATTAGTTTAGACCAGTGAAGATTTACCTCTGAGGCTGGGAGAGACCGGTCATGAAGAACACATGCATTCACAGAGAGGTAAACACATCAGGGCTCTCATAGCAAGGAAGGAGTGGGGTTGGGGAAAGGCTGTTAGGTCAGAGGCTGACAGTTCCCCTCAGTAGGACATGTAGATTTTTTTTTTTTGGTCTGGTTTCTTTGCAATTTCGACATGGTTGCAGCTTCTAATAGTAGTAATATCTGATACTTGAGTGGTATTCATGTGCTAGGAACGGGAGAGCGGCTGTATATAAATTCTCATTCAGTTCTCACAACAGCCCTGTAAGAAAGACCATTATTATGGCCACTGTACCCATAAGGAAATTGAAATTCAACAAGGTTAAGTGTCTCACTCAGAGACCTGGGAGGTAGAGGAGCCGGCCTGGTTGTGTCCTGGACATTAGAGAAACACGTGCGCATCAGGCAGAGAGGACCCCCCTGTGCTCTTCCTAAACAGGTGAGCGTCAGGCCAGGTCTCTGCGTCCTGGCTGGAGGGGAAACTCGCCAAGGAAAGGATCAGGCCCTCTGCAGCTGCTGCTCTGGGAAAACTCCTAAGACAGGCAGTTACCATTGCTTTACTGTGAATTTCTATTGACAAGCTTGTATTTCCAGGCTGAGGGTTACAGATCCTCAAGGCAGGTGATTCATCTGTGAAGCCGTGTCTTACTCTAGTCGGACTGCTGCAACAAAAATGCCATAAACGAGGTAGCTTATGCACAACAAATGTTGATTTCTCACAGTTGTAGGGACTGGAAAGTCCAAGATCAGGGTGCCTGCAGAGTCAGCCTCTGGTGAGGGTAGGCCTCCTGGTTCAAAGACGGTGCCTTCTTGCTGTGTCCTCACAGGGCAGAAGGGATCGGGGATCTCTGGGGCCTCTTTTCTAAGGGCACTCATCCCATCATGAGGGCCTCACCCTGAGGACCCAGTCACCTCCCAGAGGCCCCACCTCCTAACACTGTTGCCCTGATGGTTAAGATTTTGACATGTGCATATTGCAGGGGAACACATTCATTCTACAGCACCCCCCCCGCCCCCGGTCCCAGTTAGATCTGACATGCTGAATGTTTATTGAATGCTGGAAAAAGTGGCGTTCTAGTGGCAGGCTGTTTACTGACTTGCTGAATGACTAAGGCAGGGCACGTTGCTTTGGGGCCTGCCCTCCCTCACCTGTGGAATAGGGAGCCTGACCGTACGAGCGTGAGAGTGTTGTTGCTGAACAGGACTAATTGTGGGACAAGAAGCCACAGACGACAATAGCCCAGCCTGTGTCTTGGAGGCTCCCTCAGTCAGAGTTTCCACTTGTGAGCTCACATCCCACGCCATTTCCCTCACTCATCCCGGAGCTCCTCCAGGCCGGCTCAGGACCTGCTCCCTCACCGAAGGTGCCAGAAAAGTGCCTGCTGCTTGGTTTGGGTGACGGTGGCTCTCATACACGAGGGAGCATTATGTGTCTACCCCTGGGATCATCTTTATTTCCTCTGGTTACACATCATCCCTGGGGTGACTTTCTCCAAAGGCATCAAGACCTTGGCTACGCTTGGATGTAGTCTTGCAATGTTTGGATCTTACTGCTCACGTGAAATGTCTGTGACCTAAGTTCCCTGTTTTTCATTCCTAGTCGTCTATCAATGATGCTGCAGAATTCAAAGTAGTAGCTGATGCCATGAAAGTAATTGGCTTCAAACCTGAGGAGATTCAAACAGCGTATAAAATTTTGGCCGCTATTCTTCACTTGGTGAGTCGGGACACCTCTCAGACTGCTTTGTCTCCCTGTGGAGACGGGGTGTTCTTCCAGAAGGTTTTGGATTTTTCCCTGTACTTGTAAAAAGTAATTTTTGTAGAGAAAACCTCTCTGACGTTTTGAAGAAACGACATATCTCTAGTTGCCTCCATCATTTTGTCGTGGCAGATTTTTCCCAGCCACTGCAGGCTTTGAGGCTGTGGCTTTAGTTCACTGTCTTCCTGCTATGTCAGACTTTGCACTGGTTGATGTCAAGGGTAAAAGAATTCCATGGTGATGTGACCACCGATGGTATAAGCTAAAATCTTTTGAACAGAGTGTATTTCTAATGGCACTTGAAATACAGAATCATAGGTTATTACAGCTAGAATTTTGATCGTCTCATTTTAGAGGTTGGAGTTGACTGGCTCAGAAGCTCAGCCCGTTCATTGCAGCCAACACCGTAGACCACATGGGCTGACTTAGGCTCAAGCTGTTTTCCGCACATCAAACCCAACTGAGAAGTGAAGAGCTGTGGGCCAGAGTTCTTTCATTACTGTCCGTACAATTACAGATGTTGAAAATATAATTAACATGTAATCTGGTACTAACTGAGTGACAACATGAATGCAGATCTGGAATAAAAACTACCTTTCACTTTACCGTGACAAGATCTAAACTCTAAGTAAATCAGAAATGTGCAGGGCCTACGTGAAAAATATTAGACAGCAGCATATAAACACTATCTTAAAATAAGTGTTTCTGAGGGAGAGTATGGCTTAGTTGATAGAGTGCGTGCTTAGCATGCACGAGGTCCTGGGTTCCATGCCCAGTACCTCCACTAACAATAACAAATGAGTAGATAAACCTGTTGACCATCCTTCCCCCCAAAAAAATCAAATTAAAAAAATTTTTTAATTGAATAAGTGTTTCTGACTAGGAAGATTTTAACGTTCTCAGTTGTCTCATTCTTTCAATTGGTTTATAAATACAGTGCAACAATAATCTTCCAGAATCTGAAGAGGAATTTTGTTTTTCAGCTGACATAATGATTCTAGAATTTACCAAAACAATAAATATGTACAAAGACTGAATAAAATGTGTTAAAGGAGAGTCATAGGGTAAGGAGCTCAGAGGGGAGGAGGCATGACTAACTCTGCCAGGTTTAAAATGGTCGTAAAAGCTACAGTGCTTTAAAACTCGTTGCACAAATTCAGCACCAGATTAATCAGCAGATTAGTTCACGTGCTGGACACTTGGTAGATGGTTAATAAGTATTTATTGCTTATTGAATGAGTGGGATATAAATAGACTTAAAAACTTGGTGGAAACTAATACATAATAAAGGTGATATTTCAAATCAGGAGGAAAAGCCAGTTAATGGAACTGGAGCAAATAACCATCTGAGAAAATAGATTCTTACTTTACACCACATACCAACCTACATTCTCCGTGGGTTAAAAGCTTAAATGTAAGAAAAACCTGGATAAGTAATGGAAGAAAATGTTAAATATTCATATAATCTTCAGAGTAGGAATGATCTAAGGATGACACCAAAGAAAGAGAAACCCTGAAGCAAGCGATTCATAGGTCTGACTACATAAAAATGTAAAACTTCCATCCATCAAAAACATACTGGAAATTAAAAGATAGATCAGTGTCTGGAGAAGAAGAAAAAAGTGGGTGAAGCACTAGGTTTTTATGTGTTGAGAGATTAATGTATTTAGGACAACAGGGCTACAGACAAGGTCACTTTGATCTCTCCCCCAAATTGGCATATAGATCCCTGACGTCACGTTTCAGCATCTCATTGCAAATGGTGTGTCTTGTTTTTCTTCCTCTTCTCACACAGGGGAATTTAAAGTTTGTGGTGGATGGTGACACGCCTCTGATTGAAAATGGCAAGGTTGTGTCTATCATAGCGGAACTGCTGTCGACCAAGACGGACATGGTGGAGAAAGCTCTCCTTTACCGGACGGTGGCGACGGGTCGAGATGTCATCGACAAACAGCACACGGAACAAGAAGCCAGCTACGGCAGGGACGCCTTCGCCAAGGTGGGAGCCTCAGCCTGTCGGCCTCGCCAGGGCTCTGGTGCCACGGTTTCTAACATTGGGGCAGTCGGTGTTTCCACACAACACCAGTTCTCTGCGACACCAGCTGGGTGTCCTACAATGTAACTCAGTTCTTACACTGTCTACCAGAGGTAGTGTCAGATCCCACAGGTTAAGGGCTCAGCCTGCAAGATTGCTTCCCACCCCCCACCCCCGACACACACACACACACACACACACACACAAGCTTCAGACACCACTTGTAATCACCTACCAGCTATAGGTGGGAAGTTCCAATGACCTCTCCTTTGAATTCAATTAATTTGCTAGAGCAGCTCACAGAACTCAGGGAAGCATTAACTTACATCTCTCAGTTTATTAAAGAATACGAAAAAGGGTACACATGAACAGCTGGATGAAGAGATCTGCGGGGCAAGGTCTGGGAGGGTCCTGAGAGCAGGCGCTCCTGCCCCATGGAGTTGGGGTGCGTCACCCTCCCAGGGTGTGGATGTGTTCGTCGGCCAGGGAGGTCTCTGAACCCTCTACTTTGGGGACTTTCTGGAGGCTTCCTCATATAGGCATGATCAGTTATGCACTCCATTTCCAGCCCCTCTTCCCCCTCTGGAGGATGAGAGGTGGGGCTGAAAACCCCAGGCTTCTAATCATGACTCCATGTTTCTGGTGGCCAGCCCCCAAACAGGAGCCGTCCGGGAGCCCACTGAGTGTCACCTCAGCAGGACGAAAGATGCTCCTATCACTGCGGAATGTACAAGGGTTTCAGGAGCCCTGTGCCAGGGGTGAGGTCAAAGACAAATACCAGAACAAGAGATGCTTCTTGGGTTCTTATCACTTAGGGAATTACAAGGGTTGCAAGAGCTCCATGCCAGGAACCAGGGGCACCGACCGCTGTATATTTCCTGTTATCTCACAGCCTAGTGTTGATCTCAGTTTCATTTTCAGTGAAGTTCTGTGACAAGGTGTCCAGTCGTTAACTGAAAGTGCGCTAAGGCTTTTAGAAACAATAGTGGTACTTTTTGACCATCACATCTCAACAGCACCATGACAGCATCACTGCCAGAAAACCTTCTCAGAAAAGCAGAAGCCGATGGATTGGGAAGCTCAGAGCTCTTTGCCTGCACGGCCCCCTTTCATGGAAGCCGCCTGATGGTCCCGCTGTTTTCAGCGTCTGTGTGTGGTGATGGCGCCATGATTTAGCCAGCATCCACCTCTGGAGTCACTCCACTTGTTACCTTGTTTCCTTTTCTTGCCGCCGTGTGCTGCAGTCCTCGCACATCATTCCTTACACACCAGGGCTTTTACTTCTGTTGGATGTACTCCCTGGAAGGAGCTTGCCAGGTCAAAGGACACACTGATTTTAAACTTTAAATGACTGATTTTACGGGTATACAGTGATACCTGACTGTTCCTTTAGTTTTCATTGCTAGTGTATTTAAGCATCCTTTCTTTTTTTTTTTTATTAACGTGTTTTAATCTGTTCTGAGAATTGTGTGTACGCGTTGTACGTGTTTCTTTGGGGCTGTTAGCTTTTTATTGTCCATTTGTAAGAGCTCATCTCTTTAACCTGCTTGTCCGTTACCCTCTGGCGAATATTTTATTTTCCCAAGTTTAGATTTTTCTCTTTTTCCTTTTTGCTGATTGATTGGGTTGCTTCATTTTCCTTTTTTTTTTTTTCTTAACTCTTGTAAATCTCAGGCTTAGTTTTTGGTCTTGGGAGGAATTTGCATTTATTGAAGTGCAGCAGAGAGTGGAGGGTTTTAAGCAGAGGAATAATATCAAGTTTGAATTTTTTAAACACTCGCTCTGGCCTTAGTATGGGGAATTTTACGGGATGGTGGGTAGGGCAGGGGTGGAAGCAGAGAGACCAATTAAGGGGATATTTCAGTAATCCAGGAGAAAGACCAGGGCAGCTTGGACTAGGAAGGTAGTGATGGAAATGGAGAAAAGAGGGTGATTTGAGACAGACTGTATTTGAAAATAAAATCCACAGGACCTGTTGTTCTGGGGAATGATGGAATCAAGGGTAATTCCTTGACGTGGTCTGGCTCCAGCCCACCTCTGCTGTCTCATTTCATGTCATGTTCCAGCCTCCTTTCTCCACGCCACCATTAGACCTCTCTCAAGACTTCACATTGTCTTTATCCCTTTACCCTTCCAGCCACAGGGCTCTGCACATGCTGTTTCCTCTCCCTTCCTTGCTCTGCTCTCCCCTCTCACCTGGTTAACTCTCACTCATCCTTCTGATGTCAGCCCAGTTTCTCGGACAAGCCATCCCTGGCCTTGCTGAACACTGAAGAGGTTAAATTTTCCTCAGATCCCATGCACCTCATCTGTGTGTGTGTCTGTGTGTGTGTGGATTTTTTCCCTTCACTCTACCCCCTGAGCTCCTTGGAGACTGAGACAATGTTCATGTCACTAAGTAGTGTGTCTCCAACAACCTGCACATCATAAGTACTCACCAAATATTTAATGAATGAATGAATTCCTAGATTTCTGTTGCCATTTATTCATGGTTAAAAGTAGGGTAGGAGCAGTTTCAGGGGGTGGGGAGCTCAGTGGTCCTGGCAGGACATACGTTTGAGGTGGCCGTGAGACATCTGAGTGTCGGCAGTCAGGCACAGGAGCCTGGAGCCCAGAGGGGAGGTCTGCGTTGGGATGGTCCATTTGGAAGTAGTAGTATGTCGCTGTTCTGTAGTGTTGGATGAGATGACTTGAGAGGAGATGACAGGGAATGAAGACAAGGAGGAACTCCAACTCGAAGAGGTTAGGGAGAGAAGAAAACCTACTAAAGGTCACCAGGAAGGAGAGCCAGTGGAATAAGAGGAAAATTAAGAAAGTAGCGTACCCTGAATCCCAGAGAGGAGGATGCTTTCAAGACAAGAGTGGGAAACTAGGTTGAGTGATGCTGAGTGTCTGAGTGAGATGTCCACATAGAGGCAAAGAAAGTGTTCACACAGAGCTGCTGGTGGTCCTTGAGCCATTTCAGTGGAGTAGTGGGAGATGAGGGAAGACTGGAGTGGAGGGAAGGATAGCAGGGAGGTGGAGAATGGAGGTGATGTGTATAGCTGTCTATAGGTGAGGAGGGGGTGAGCTGCAGGGGGATGTAAAGGAGAGGCTTTGTAAAGGTGTGACGTTGCAGAGCACGCTTGTCAGATGTGAATGAGTGTGAGGGCGTGGTGCCTTTGTCCACGTGTGTGTTGGTGTGTGTGTCCTTGTGCACAGGATGTGGTTCTGATTCTCAAGGAATTTGAAAGGGTGACCTTCTGGTTCCATTATGAATCAATGTTGATATATACAGAATCCACAGAGCTTTAGTGGAACAT